AAAATAGTTGCTGATTAATTTAATAACTGACTACTAATGGATTAATCGCCTAATTGTTGCAGCTAACGGATGCTCGAGGCTCCTTGAGCTGCTTGCTGTGTGAATGCTCAGGGCCCGATGTGGATCTGATGTCGATACCTTGTCTGAATTTAAGGTGTCCTACCTGTCTCGGATGGGCGGGGCCACGGTCGACGACGCAGTGAGGCGTCTGATGCAGGCCGTGCTTTCGTTCGCAGTCGGCTCCGAGCTCAACTGGGTGGGCCGCGGACAGAAGAGAAGCTTCAGGAACACCCGTCTCCAAGGGGTCCTCTTCCGTAAGTACAGGCGCTGCTTGAACGACCTAATGCCAAAGGAAGCCCTACAGCTGATAGATCTGTGAGCTTTAAGGATAACTAACTGGTAATATTTTGAAGACTAATGCTGTGTTCTCACCAAAGGCAAATAAAGTTACTCAGGCCAGTAGATTACATACAAAGTCAATGCACAGACACCGATAGACGTGTATAAACACAAATTCGCACTGGTTGAAAATACTGAACTTTGAGCGAAGAATTCCTGCATGCTGCGGGGCGGTTGCAGTGTTGTATGGGAAGGAGGAGACAGAGCTGCTGCTGCTGGCCCACAGACAGCTGTTTGAGTTCTGGAGGAATAAACACCCAGAGTCACACCCGATTCTGCTCCGATCTGGAGACGGTTACCGACATTAAAAAGTGGTTTTACCTTCACTCTGTCTTCTCAACCTGTCTGCTGCGAGTCACAGAGATGCGTGCCCCACTTGTGTGTGTCTGCGTCATTCACCGTATCTCGAAATGTCCACTGTTGTGAACAAACGCCATGACAAGACTAAAACCAGTGATTGTATCCTTATAATGAGCATTGTGTGTGTGGATCCAAAGCTGTGATATATCTTCTTCCTCTGTGCCATAAGAGTTCCACTGTTGACCAAAAACTGTAGTTTATTTGGACCCAGACCCACCCACACTGTCCCGCTGCCCCAAATACTCACTATAGAACACCAAATGTGGATTAATCCGCTGCTGAAAATAGTCCCCAACAATCTTCTCCTGTTCGAGTAACGTTTGCTAAAAACTACAGTTACCAGCTGTTTGAGGAGCCGTTTTTAAAGATTGACGTCCCCATAGGAACCGGTGTGCTCGGAGCTGAGAGCCACAGGAAGTCAGAAAGCACTCAGAGGCTGACACATGGTTGGTTCTTTTTTTAAGGGGTTTGTTGACAAAAATGTAAATAGAGTATTGCCAGCCTTCTGCTTTAAGAATCTGCTATATGAGCATCCGCTGTGTAGAGCACTAATCTCCAGCTTCTCCTTCTCAGGCGCTCTGAAACGAACACCGGTGGGGAAGGAGGCCACTCATCACCAGTACGCTGACGTGGTGAAGAAGTGGCTGCGCTTCGCTCCGTTCAGACAGGGAGGGAGCGGCCGTCGCTGCTGTAGACCTCCTGCGGACTTCCCAGATTCTGAGGACGCTGACAGTTTTAACCAAAGCTGCACACACTGACATTAATTACCCAGAGACACCCGGCGCTGCCCACATTGTGGACAACCATCACACACACTGTCCGCAACACTGGGTGGCAGCATCTGTGCGTCTGCTGGGAGATCTCTC